TAGCGTAAGTTAGTATGGCTGAAAAGTACTTCCAATTAAACACGTAGGTGTGTGTTGCATGTGCAGAGAATATATGCGGAGATTGGGGTAAAGATAAACACCTCGTGCAAGGGAAAAACAACTCTGTTATACTAGATTATACATTAGCTTTAGAAGACCACTGGGCAAGTAATAAAAGTTGACAATGTGTTTCCAGCTTCTGTGGCCTCATTCACAGCTGCAATAACCTAGCTGGAGTAAAATGTGGCGAGAATTGGCAGCTACGTTCGAAAAAAACAAGCCCTCAGAATTGTATTCAAAATAAACTATGTGCAGTCGCACATACTAAAAGCATGCAAAAAGGACACCCATTAGCCACAGCAAACAAGAATAACGTTAAAAATACATAAATACATGCACTCATCACTGAGCAATGGTATGAACCTCATTCATAGCTATTCCAACAAGCCACCTATGGAATAAACTGTCTGAAATTATCCAAAGTTATTTTGTCCTCCATTTCCGTTGTTCTGTAAGTTGCATAGGCAGCTGGGATCCCCTTAGCATTAAAAAATGGCCTTGCTCATCCATTATGGGCAGTAATGGAAATACAACTAAGACCAGTGACTTTTCTGTTTAAATCAAGATGTAAACAGCTGGCCAGGCTATAGTAAACCAAACTCTAACCATATATTTTTGGCTAAAGGCCATGATATCTCTTTTCTCCTAATCTGATGTCTTGAAGTGGTTTCATTCTTGTTATGAGGTCACATCTGAGCCTGTGAGACTATAGAGACGTAGGCTACCTTGGGTGTGTCAACCTCACTTTAGTGGGGTCTCTGAGACGTCAGTTTATTTTCCTCCTCACAGTACAATGATGGATTATCAATAACCTGTGTATGAAGTAGAATAACATATAGTAATATTAATGAAATCACTGAAGTGCATGTGTATTTCAGAGATGTCTAACTCGGTTCCTGTGGGGCCATAGCTCTGCAGAAATAAACGTTTTCCTTCTGAACACTCTGAGTTCAACTCATGGAGGCCTTGCTAATTAGCTGAAGATTTGAACTAGGTGTTTTTAATGCTGTAGCACACTATAAACACTGCAGTACTGTAGTCCACCAGGTCTGGACCCTGACTATATTGCAATTTAGCAATATTTATAAAAGAACAATATAGACTGAATCAAGAAAAATGTTTCTAACTGGCCCGTCCAGTTTTAATGAAGATGTTTGTACCAAAAAATACTACCCTCTGATATACATGTACTGCCTCACTCATCAGTTGATCTTCCAGAAAACAGGGTAAACAGCTTACATTCTAAAGAATAACCAACAGAGCAGCTATGCACTTTGGAGGGGAATTCAGGGTAAGCATTATCACCCACTGTGGTTACACAAAAAACAGATGCTGTGTTGTGAGTTGCTCTTTGCATCCTACTGCAGGTGTATGAAAAAAATCTGTTTAACAGAAAAAGGACAGGTGGATCGAAAATGAGATATTGATACTTTTGATTCTGATGTTTCTTTTTGAGAATTGATTCTCACATGAAAATATAGATCCCAAATGTTTTCCTTAATCAGTAAACCAGTTATCTGCTTTTTAAAAATTGTAATATGTCTTGAATACTGAAAAAGTGAAAAACGGCATATGACACAGAGAGAATGACTTATTACACTCTAAATCTGTTTATGTGGCAGTTCACATGATACTAATGCAAAAGCTTTCAAACATAATTTGCAGTTGTCCATACTGACTGCTTATCACAGTAGAAATAATAAAGAATAACCTTTTTTAGGTATCACTACCTTTATCAGGTTATCCAGTTATCAGGGTATCAGCCTAAATATTTGGACAGTGACACAATTTTTGGAATTTTGCCTCTGTACACCACCACTATGGTTTTAAAATGAAGCAGTCAAGATGTGATGCAAGTGTAGACTTTCAGCTTCAATTCAACAAAAATAATGCATTAACTGGATAGTACAGTTATTTTTTACATAGTCCCTCCACTTTCATAGGCTCAAAAGTAATTGAACAGTTGACTGATAAGCAGTTTCATGGCCAGGTGTGCCCTGTTCCCTTATGACAAATCAAAGAGGTAAAAGGTCTGGAATTGATTCCAAGAGTTGACTATACATTTGGTAGCTGTCCATAGGAACTCTCAATATGTGGTCCAAAGAGGTGTTGATGCAAGTGAAGGGGGCCATCATTAAGCTGAAGAAACAAAATACACCTATCAGAGAGATAGCAGAAACTAGAGGTCTGTGCAGGACAGGTTTTTTTTTTAGTCCCGCTCCCGCCCGCAACCAAAACATTTTGTACTGCTTCTGCCCACGCAGCTCCGTCAAGGCAAACTGACATACAATATCTAATACAGTCTATTTACAAATACATTATTCTCTGCTGAAATAATACGGAAGTCATAGTCATCAGGCTTACTGTGAAGTAACTTCACCAAACACCATTTATTTCCAGTAAATACAAAGCAGGAATTAAACCACATAAGGGTTATTTTGGTGTTTTCCTGGGATCTGCGTGGAAGTATTAAAAATAATCCTTGTATTTATAATTATGTTAATTTGTCCAATCACATTTTGATTGCATCATTTTAAATCCATTGGGATGGTGTACAAAGCTGCCCTGCGATGGACTGGCAACCTGTCCAGGGTGTATCCTGCCTTCTGCCCAATGACAGCTGGGATAGGCTCCAGCACCCCACCGCGACCCAGAAGCGGTTTAGATGATGTATGTATGTATGGTGTACAAAGCCAAAATTCCAAAAATTGTATTACTGTCCAGAAATGTATGTACCTGACTGTATGCCTACCAGTATCAGGTTATAATTCTCTGTATAACAAAATGGTGCATGCCTATTCCAGTCAAAGGGTCAAAAAGGGGTACAGTTCCTGTCTTGCATTAGCCGCTTCACTCTGACCCTGTCTCCAGGGGCAACAGCAGCAGCCTGTTCTGAAAGACTGGTTAGCTGTCTGAACAAACCTGAAATAAAACAATTTTTTCTTAAAATCAGCTCATCAGAAAATGCATTGGAAAAAAAATGTTTATCCTCAGAATACTCACAACACCCTAATAATCACAAAAACGGTCACGACATGGTCACAATGGTCAAGTTCGCTGTAATCTTAAAGAGTGGGAAATTATCGCTAAAGTTTTGTGAAATGTGACTTGAGTCTTTATTGTCTGCCTAAGGGGGGGAATGAGTCCCCCACCCCCTTTAGCCAAAACCATGTGATCACATTCTCGGAAATATTTTGACATGACGGCTCTGGACTTACATATTCTCTCTAAGATTATGTTAATTGTGCTTTTGAGACATAAAGTTGGACCTTCTGTGTGTGTGCTGTTAATACATAGCACTATGTTTTCGCTTTTTTTCTGTCCTGACTGGATAATGCTACCTCTTGCATTTTTGACAAAAAATCTTAAATATTGCAGCTGTAAGCATTTAGGAATGTTCTTTGATGGTTACAGAAATGCTCACCGAAGAAAATGACTAGAAGTCTAGGTAACTCCTTAGGAAAAGCTCATCCAGTCAGTCAGCTTCTTCAGTGAGAGCAGCACATTTTTGGAATACTTTGCCAATATACATTCACAACAATAAAACGTATAGTATATTCAGATGTAGTACATTCAGAAAATGGCTTATTGTCAATCAGGATTGTGTGCATGAATTTTTGAGTTTTCAGATGTTGGCTGACCCCCCTCAATCAAGGTCAATTCTTTACTTGCTTGAACTTAAACGGTTACCATCCACCCTACGCTTAACTAATTTTATTTCATTTTATTTTCTCCTGTGTGTAAATTTTCCAGTGTGTCTGGCCTAATAACATCAGGCCTCAGGGGCTGTAACTGAAAATTAGTCAGTTGGCTAACATTTCACTTTTTCACACTTTACTTTGTGTTAAATAATGTGCCTGGATCAATGAATAAACCAATAAACCAATGAAGTCCAAAGAGTCACTTATAAGTTACAATCATATGACTCATGCACGTCGCTGTTGGCTGTTAATTTAAAGTCATAAGTTTCCATTTGTGGGCCCAGTGCAAGTTGCCACAATACCAAAATTTCTTACGTCAAACGTTTCCCCTAAAGCAATGGTTTTATTAGCCACTAACACATGAATCAGAATACACCAGAAATACATTTTTGTCCACCAAGCTATCCATCTAACCGTCCATCCTTTAAAACAATAAAAATGTTCACATTCAAGGAACTGCTACTACTATATACCATTTACCACAGACACAATGCAGGGGAATTCTGAATTCATGTGAAAACACAGTGTAGTCATAGGCAACAAAAATACTGTACAAGCAAAATTTAGAGAGCAGGTGAAAATAATAACAAGTGAAGGCAGCAATGCAATACTACAAGGCAATAAATATATGCAACAGATTCCAACAGTATTGGAATAATTAACCAGAATCCTATGGCTTACTGGAAAAGGGATCGCTGCTTCACCAACTAAAAGTTAAAGACAATAAATAGTGCAGCATGCCTGCTGCCTAATTTAGTTACAACAAATTATCTTAGATAAGTAAACCAACAAGATGCCTCTGTAGGAAAATATTAACTGGTGAACACTTAATGTAAAAGTTCCTGTCTGAAAGTAAAGAAAATAAATTGTTGTCCAAAGATATATTAGCATGCATTATAGCGCGCTCAAGCCATTATTATACATGCCATACTATGTATAGCACTGGTTTAGATATGCATGATGAATGGAAAGATTGTCTATAATGAAAAGATCGACCTTTCTTTTCAATGGCTGACTCATATGTTGGTCAGCAGCGTTTCGTTATGAGCTCTTTCTGAGAAATTCCACAGTTTTGAGGTCACGTATTGCCAGACTAACTGCATTCGCTACTATCCTCGACTGTGGACTCCTAAGAGTTCTTTCTATGAATCCCTGTGAGGAAATTACCTTCGTTTGGGGCAGGTGGGTTACTGCAACATCACGCATTTAGGAGCAACGCACCTGATTTAAAGGAAACAGAATCTCCTTCATAGATGAGGAGCCCACAGAAACCGCAAAACCCAAAGCACATCCCTTAACGCCCTCTCAGGTTGCATTCTATATAAACCCCTCGACCCATTCTTGAACACATCATTCACTTGCTCAGAGTTTCGCTGTTCTCAGGTTGGAGCAAAGTGTTTTTGATGAGAAAACCCTCCGGATTTTCGTACTGCACTGAAAGAAACAAAGCAATAAGGATGGATTCTTGGTTCAGCCTGGTGCTAATGTGCGGTCTTGTCATCATTGAGTCACTGAATGGAGCTGCTGGGAATGTGATTCCTCATAATGTTCCTCACAACCCTCTTCAGAACCTGAAAAAAGCGGTGCACACTGTGCAAAAGTATTATGTAAGTGTTTTCTATTGAATTTTCGATAGAGAAGTCTAGTCACACACCAAACTAGCATATGTTCAAATGCATTAATGTTGCATAGTGATTTGGCAAAGTACAAATGTTAACAAAGATGATGTTTGGCCACAAGTCTTAGATAGAATGTGTTTAGTTCTAACAAGCAGATCAGGCAAATGAGGCTTTGGCACTGTAAGGAGGTGTCTTATGGCTGGGTGTACATTAATGTATACTGCTTCATCATTATCTGTGGAAGAGGAAGTTCTTGTTAAGTATAAATACAGACTTGGGTTTTTGAAGTAAAATGCACAACAGTCATTTTATGATTTTTACTGTTTACAGGACTTAAAAAACAAGGAATGGATGGGACGTGCCGTGTTCGCTCCCTACTTGGGCAAGACAGAGGTAAGTTTGACAATCTTGCTGACAGTTGAACAATCTCAGGAACGACAAAGTATCGCGCTAATCATGTTGTGCTGTTTCAAGACTTGCACTTGCGAGAAGCTGGTGCTCGCGGCCATGTTGAACTCCTACGTGGAAATCTTTTCGGACATGATGAAGAAGTCCAAGGAGATTGAGGCTAGCCTGAAGGGAATGCAGGCAAACGTGACGCACCTGCAGGAAAGCAAATACAGCAAAGAGCAGCACGTGTTGACACAACTTCAGGAGATTAAGCACAAAAATGTAAGAAAAACAATCTTATTTGTATGTATTTTTTCCCATGCAGTTTTACTTGCACAGTTTACTTGTGTTGATGGAGCACTGGCACACTAGCTAGGATTGTTTGTTATATCATTTTTTTATTTCATAGGAAATAAACTATAATACTACATCATATTTTTATAGCGATCAAGCAATATTCATTGGGCAATGACGCACTAAGCTTACAATTTATAATACTATTTCTTTATTTTTCTCATTAAGGTGAATGACATGACAATCCAGGGTGGAGCGGTGAATGACTTTCTCTCTGTGTATGACATGGCGTCACATTAGGAGAATTTTTTAGCACAGAGAGAAATCAAACTCAGTTTCATGTGTTCTCAAAACATTACTTTAGTGCCTATTTGTTTTGCTATTTATCAATCTTTTGTGCCTTTTTTGCTATCTTATTTATCAAACCTTTAAATATAACTAAGATGTAATGTAATGTATTTATTTATCATAAAATGTACTGTATAATCACATAGTGCAATTTACTCAAGATGTAACTTATTCAGTTCAGGAGTGTACTTTGCTAATGACTGTTCATCAAACTCATGTGTGACTCATTCGGATGAGACAGAACTCTGTATATGTACACAATAAACCACTAAACCTGGCATTAACCTGGTTGTGCAAGAAATAATTTCTCTGAGCTACAGTACATGCACTTTTTCATACTTCTCTGCACTATGTTTGCCATGGGTACAGCTTAACACTGCCTTATGTAATGTGTGGGCCTAATGCTGGGTCCTACTGCATGTAGGAACTTCTAACTTAACATACACAGTTCTTGGGAAATGCTGGAGGAAGTTTTGTCTTTGAAGAAAAGCAATGCAACTAGGGCTGTCTTTTTTCTTGTTCATTTAAAATTCAAGCCTAAAGTGGCCAAACTGGCTGATGAGCCACCTTATTATACACTCATACAAACATCTACAGTTACACAGAATTCTGTGTAGAGTTAAGTAAAGCAATGTGTTAATAAATATAAGCAAAAAAATACATAAATAAGTACTCAATATGGTAAAATGCATGCTAAAGTCAAACATGTTAATAATGAGCAACAGAAGCTAGAATATTTTGTTCTTAAGCCCCATGATGTCTCAGTGAATGCATTTACTGCATTCATTTATTCTCTGCTGCTATTGTTTGCCATCCGGTGTCGACCAGAGGAGGATGGGACCCCCTTTTGAGTCTTGGTTCCTCTCAAGGTTTCTTCCTCCTGCTCTTAGGTAGTTTTTCCTTGCCACTGTCGCCATTGGCTTGATCATCTCAAATAGCCATCATTAGATCATTATGTAAAAATTGTGTCAGGCCTAAATGCAGCTCTATGTTTCATGATAAATTTACAATCAGTTACAATCAGTAACTAACGGTCACACAGAGAGGTTCAGCAGAGGAATTCATAACTACTTCCACTATCTTTCCTAAAGTAACTTCTTTTGTAAATTTTCATAATATTAGCAGATTAGCAGCCCAAAACAGAATTCTGGCAGATCCTGAAAAAGTCTCATAAACTTTTAAAGCACATATGAAAAGGCCATAAAATATCTGAAAATCTCTTATATTTACCGTATATAAGTCTTCCATTGGTCTTCCATTAGGGATGCCCAAGCATATTTTAATGGATCAAATATTGGCAAAAAAACCCAATCTATTGTTTAGTTTTCGGCGCTCTTTATGTCTGGAGCTGCTTTTAGCTAGAAAATTAAAACATTTAATATTTGTAATATCCATGTTTTTACTGTGTTAAACTAGCTGTCTCTCATCTTGACACTGCCAATGTAAAATGTAAGAGCATAACTATTCCAGTCTGTTTTCTACTGTTTGACATGAGTGACATGCCTCCGAAGCCATGAACATAATACACTCTCACTTTGTGTTGAAAATAGAAATATCAAGAAAACATTCTGCTTTACTGGTCATGCTGCATCACACCACCTCTGGTTTAAACCAGCAATCAAAACTGAAAGAAAAGAGCAGCTACCGTGTGTTACTGTAATATGAAATCCTAGTGACTTCATGACTAGTGAATTTTAAAATGTTATTTCACATAAGTAGTCTGCACAAAACAACATAATAAATACAAATTCTGAGTGCCCTAGCATGTACATATCAAAATTTTACTGCATATTAAAGTAGCCGGTAGCCATGTCATCAAGGAGGTCAACTGAACTGGATGACGATAAACTATAAGTCAATGAGTAAACTACAAAGTCAGCCAAAGATCTAAACATATCAGTCCAAAATGTCACAATATGCACATACTAAAAAAAAGTAATTTTATTGTAGTAATAATTGGCCGCTGCTTACATAGTCACCAAATAAGTGAATGCAGTGCATGATTTTCAAGCTAATTCATCATTCAATAAATGTCAAAAGTGGACAATTTGTCGTGAGGAGAATTGCCACTTAATAATGTCTTCTGGGTTTGTCTGATGCCAGATGGCACTCCCAATTGAGCCCAAAATTAATGGGCTCCTAAGGAGCTTTTGTGCAAAATGCTTATTATTTAATAATGCTTATTATGCTAAATTATTTTTATACTTAATGCACTTGATTTCTCAACACAGAACAGCATACAATACTTCAACACTGCTGTTATACTTTTGAGTGCTTTTAAATTCTAGTCAAAAGACTTCATAAAAGTGTGAATTACCCACATTCATGATGTCAGCGAACGTGAACCACTACACTCAACTAATGAGCTGATCAGTTCACCAACCAATCAGCAGTCAGTGGTAGTAAAGCTAGCGCCTAACTGCCTAATACCTGTTTGCTGTAGTGAAACAGAAAGATATTGGTAAATTTTCTTTCATTTTATTAATGGAAAACATCCTTCCTCCTTTCAAAATTAAATTAATGGCCCCGCACAACTGGTCAGAAACAAGTTTAATATTTGTTTTTTAGCTGTTTAGCTCCATTCACCCCCATTCACTGAGGATTCATTTGCGGCACCCTCTAGTGCTCTGCAGTCATTTTCTGAAATAACTGGAAAAACAGGAAGTGGCCAGGCTTTCCATAATCTCTGGTCAAACCATCTATCTAACAGTAGCTAAATGTTAAACATTGCTGCTTTAACTTTTAACTTTAAGAGAGAGGCTGGTTAGCATTAGCTTAGCTAGCATGAAAATAGCTCTGCTCACCACAGAACATGTCCTATTCTGGCTAACTAAAGGAATAACACAGGTTTGAATAATAATGATTCAAATCTGAGGGGGTGAAGTCGAGCAACTGGGGCTAAAGGAGCAGAAAGGCGGAACTAAACCTGTTACATAGTGTATGGATCTATTAACGTTAGCTTAGCGAGCAGGCTACAGACTCCAACAGTGTCACACACCACAGTACAGGTTAGATTTTGACTAACTGATGCTCTGCTGGAACAAGTGTAGATGATAAAAACTAATGTCCGAAAGAGCAGAGGTCCCGTGACTGGTGTTGGAGTGAAAGAAAGCCGAAACTGAACGTGTTCTGTGGTGTGTGTAGCTCTTTTGCTATTGCTGAGCTGCTACCATGCTTAGCTTCCTGAATGTTTTTACTGCCTTTGATTTTTCTCTCTCTTTTTTCAGGCTTCAATTGCTAACTATCGGTGGACCCTCACACCACCAATCAGTGAGCCCCTCTGGAATATAAATGGGTGGAATATGTTACTGGGACATTCAGACATGAAATAGAAATTTGATCATAATTTTGAGATACCATCTTTTAAACAAGGGCAGCATTTTTAGATACCACGGTATTCCACAACCCCTATGACAGCGGTCCTGTGTTCAGAAACTGACCACTTTTAAAAGACAACAAACACAAACAGAAGACTGTGTCAGGATCATGCAATCTCAAAGCATGTATTCATACTCTTACAACCAGTCTGTTTGAATAAAATGGACTTTAATAAATGCAATATTTGAGCTTACGTGCACTTTTGTGAGGTTCAAGCGGTCTAATTTTTTTCTATGTCGAGATCTTGAAAAGGTATTAAAAAAATCACTAAATTTGATTTCAAAAATTAGGCAGCAACCCTGTAAAAACAACAAATGTAAAACCTTTTAGGCCTATGTGTGCTGTTGTGTGGTTTAAATGGAATCACCGGTTCTATGCTGAGGTGTTTAAAAAGTATTTAAAATTTACTGAATTTGATTTTAAAAATTGTACCGCAAACCATTGAAATAATAAATGTGACGACTTTAAGGCCACAGCACCCCATATTTAACATTTTTGGCCCTTAAAACACAAAAATATTGGGGAAAAAATGCCTCCAAGATCAGTGGTGATCTGTAGGGAAAGTTTCTGCAGAGACTGACTCTAAACAAAATTATACTAAACAAACTCACCAATAGTCAAACGTGTGGCCTTCAAAGCTAATAACAAACTTAAAAGCTGAAGCTGAAAACACAAATCCAGCACTAATCGAGTCATTTCATGAAATTCTGTTTACATTGAGAGCCAGACACAATCATAAAATTATGAGTGTGTGGCACCCGCGCATGTCATTACACAGTAACGTTTTAACACAGGTCTCAATTTTACTGATCTTTCGATCATATCTGGATTTTCACATGTAAAATATTTTCAAGAAAATTGATGACACACTGCTAAAGAACTGAAAGCATGAGCGAGGTGATGGTGACTAGCGACAGATGATAAGTAATTGGAGGGCTATGAAAAAGACGCAGGGCAGACATGAAGTGTGCCAAGATTTTGACTGGCTTTTAAACTTTGCGTTGGTGACAATCAGGATGGCTGTTTTCCTCTTTGGCCTGGAGAACACAACACCCATTATTTCCAAAAACAACTTGATAGATGGACTCATCAAACAGCTCAAAGTCAATTTACAAATCACTGCTTTTGTTTTTTATTGCTATTTACCTACTGTATTAACCTTTATGGACTTGGGTTTGTAAACTGACCTGTTCTTTTGGAATCATGTTAGCAGTTGGATGGGACTGGATACCTAAATCCTGCACTATGACTGATGGGCTTGTTAGGTCCAGTGCTCTGATCGAGTCCCCACAATTCAAAAGTTGCATGTTTATTCTAGTTGTCACCATTATAGATTTAAAATATATTGAAACTGCTTTTACAGACTACTTGTTGACTTGTACTGAGGCAAAATGGTATAAAATTATCAGCTGTATATTTAGGTTACAAATGATATTTGTACATTCACTCTTCCTTTGTATATTCAGTACTGGTTTACAGAAAAGGGCAAAGCTAATACACCTCCTGCAGTGATGATGAGTTACTTGGGAAAGTAGACAAACAGTGCTACTTGCGATTTAGAGAAAATGAAACTTAAGCATTTCGGATAATAATGACAGATTACATAAGATTGCGGAGTATACCCTTCAAAAGTGAGTAGTCTCAATGGTTTCGCAATGAATGTTTGCTCAAAGCACTCTGGACTCATGAAGTATGTCGTTCTTTTGACCTTGCTTGTGCTTGAAGGTGCTTATTTTGTATGAGAATATACATTTTTTGAATTAATGCCACAGGGACAGATATTAGACTTCTGATATTTAGATTTAAACTGCAAGTATCCATAAAGAGGTCCACACTTCAACTGCTCACTCTCATTTACATAACTTACTTATTATTTAACAGTAGTTGCTGGATAATTCATGGCAGTTATTGGATTACAGTTTGCTAGATTAGTTACTGGATTACAGGTTTCTTTTAGCTATCAAAAGTGTAAGGGGTGAAAGGGAAATCCATTTACTATGGCACATCATTTCTTTTGCTTCATCTGCTTTAATTAGGTAAATTATTGCCAAGAGTAAGTAAATTAAAAGACAAAACTTTGTTTATGTAGTACAGAACTTATAATGTAACATATAACGTTTTTTGCGTAGCCCTAAAATAATTTTCATATTCCTGATTTGCTGATATCCATGACTAAAATATTCAGTACTGAGTAAAGAGCCCCTTTCGGTTTCTGTGGCCTGCGAATGGCGTCATGGGAGCTGAGATGACAGAGCTTACTACCGTCGTCACAACTCTAAACCTACTGAGTTTCGTCGGCAGCTGCAACCGTGGAAAACCAAAAGCCGAAAAAGCTCCAATTTAAGGCTGAAGCAGAAAATGTCTGACTCTTCAATTCCAGTGTAGTTTCAGAATCAGCACAGACAGAGACTCAATTTCCAGCCGAGGTGCTCCACCAGAACGTGTTTCTCCGCCATCCTGGAGAGATATGACAAGGTGGGAATGAACACTGTGAGCAAGCCTTTTTCCATTGCGTGTGGTGAACATGCCGAATCTGATTCATTCAGCTTAATTCAGGAGTGAACTAATTAGACTGTATTCATTGTGGCGATTCCAGTAGGCTGAATATAGAAATATAAAATTTAGAAAGTGGTAAAGGAACTCTTTGACACTGGCACCAACTACTGATCATCTGCGGTATTCTGCAAACTCTACATGTTGTCAGCTTCATAGGGGCCTTGTCTGTCTCACACAGTTCCCTCTCCTCAAGTGACTCTGCAGAAGCTAATGAGGTGTTAAAACCTCAGCGCTCAAACATCCTCTGCTGCTCAACCCAAAAAGAAACTCATGTTTTCAGTCTCATTTTATAAAGAAACTGTCGGTTTAACATGTGCTCTTTAAGGACCTTTAGAGGGTCACTGATGGGTTACTAACTAGCTAATTGTTAATTGGGAATTGTAGCTACTTAAACATAAACTAAGTTTTTCAATTAGTTTTTTTGGGTTCTTTATACAAATCATGCCAACAGTATCCGGTACCAACGTTAACCCATGCACAAATCCACCAAGTACCTCAAATACACAACTCAAAGTGAATAGCTCACATCACTGCATAGTATGGCAACGAAAAGAACAAGTTATAGAGCATCATGTCCATGAACATTTTGGAATTTTGGACTTAATAAAACTAAAAAGAGGAAAAAGCAATTAACCTATTGGAGTGCACTTGAGTAACCCAAAAACATGTATTAATGGTATTCTGTAATGCACTGGCTTATAGACTCTGGGACTGAGAAGAAGCAACTGTAGTTGATGTCGCACAAATTCTGTTGAAGCAGAACCATGCCAACAACGATGTATCATTTACATGCTTGACAATGAAACTTTTGGGGGTAATACCTGTAACATTGGAAAACATGTGATCCCCTCGAAGATGTGCTGGCTGAAACTACTCACTGATTACATGCGAAGTCCACATGGGCAGTTTGGTTTGTGTGGTTTCAGCAAGTGACTTAGTGTTAAGTGGGTTTTTAAGTCATTGGAAACAAAGACAAGAGTGTGTTCGACCGGGCGTTGTTATCACTCCTGCTAATTTCAAGTAAAGTGGCCAATATCAGTAGAAAGCACACTATTTTTAGCCTAAGCAGCAAATTACACTGAACCATTGCTTCCGTAACATAGGCCATGGCCCGAGATGTCTATGCACCACAGTCTCATACATGGGGGGCCAATAGGCCTCAAGACATCTGCATCACCAAAAGATCCCCACACCACAAAACCACCAACAGCTCCGCCCTGTGCCATTCCAGATCCATAGGTGGTGTTTGATGAGCATGGCAATGCAGACATTGTTTTTTATAGGAAACTCAAGAGTGTCACAAAACCACACATTTCACACCTTACTGTCGTCTGCTCACTTGCACTCACACTACAGAGAAAACTATAAATATCGTCTCATTCACACAGATAGACGCATTCAGCCTTTAGCAGAGGCACGGTGAGGACAGCAGTGGGCTCAGCGTCAACGAGAGCTAACACTTAGAGAAAAAAGTCAGTGATTGGCACGTCGGAATAACTCTTGGAGTTTCGTGACTGGCTCAAATTTGTTCAAAAGAAGTAAAGGATGATTCTGCTCTTGGAAATATGTTTGCTGACTTTTGGACTGATGGCAAGTTCCGAGGCCTCTATCCCAGCCAATGCCAGACATTACATTGAGCAGCTCAACAAATACTATGTAAGTAAGGTAAGCGTCTTTAACATTATATGGAAGGTCACAAAACGGCGAGGAGAAGGAAATGTATAACGGGGCAGACATGTCACCTGTCAATAGCTTTAAGTTTACTAACTTAAATTTACTAACTGATTTGAAACTTTTGGGGAACAGTAAGAGTCATTTATACTCTCAGAAACTCTCCAAAAGTATTTTACTACAAAAGTGAGAACGACTGTGGCAGCTAAAACATAGTACAGGAAGCAGAATGACCTACCACCTATAATAACAGCAAGCTCCTGCTCCATCCTGGCTATGTGGGTGGCATTCATATGTGGTCACAGTCATCTACATCCTTACACCAACGCTAAGAGTTTGTTTAAAACAAAGAGGTGGCGAGCTTACACCACAGAGAGTGGAAAAAATTTTTGTTATTTGTTTGTTATTTTGTTATTTTAAAGTAATACAGGCTTTGTAGTAGTAGTAGTCTCATTTATAATTACTCATGGCCTTGAAAGTACTGGAACTTTACTGATTTCTGTTTCTATCTGTAGCAGAAGACCACAGAGGGCACTGAATTATTTGATGGGAACCCTCTTTTCTGGGGAAGACTGGACGGCTTTGAGGTAAACAATCCAATGCACATTACCATAATATATGGCCTTACCTTCACTACAGAGGCCAACGTATCTGCAGAATCATCTTATCCTGTGCATCTATACTCGCTATCACTTTCTTTAGGCCTTAGCATACTACATGACACAATCTCATGCCATGGGAGGTCATGCACTCTGTTGCACTGAATGTCACATGGCCTATAACAAACCCACATAAAAACTCACCATTCTTGTCTTGCTCTTGTGCGCAGAAGCCAGAACAGAAGCTCCTGATGACCATTATTCTGGACGCATATAACAGAATCTTAACCCAGATGCAGAACGAGACGGAGGATGCAGATGTGCAGAACAAACTGATTAAAGTAAAGGAGTACCTGAACAAGCTGAAATTACACTACTTCTCAGACAAACATAACAAACTCAAGACACAAGCCAGTGAGGTGATGGCTATCAATGTAAGCCCCTTTAATAACTGGTCCATTAATGCTTTACTGTTTCTTTGTTAATAGCAATAACGGTGACACACTCCATACTTAGGGAAAGCCCTACGGGTGGACTCCTATAAGCAATAGCTTTACTGCTTAAGGAAGGGAGGAATATCTGAAAGAGGAACAAAATAAGGAAAAATTAATTTTCATCAGCATAATAACTAACATGAAAAACCAAAGTACACTAAAATACAATGATTGCCTCAATCAGTGTTAAGAAATCTTATCCTTATCCTTATGCATATGCTTAGTAAAGAAGGAAATAATAAGACTGAAATGAATTTCAGGCCAATCAAAGAATGCAAATTTTGATTTCACCATCTTGCTGCATCACCTTACAGACAATGAACTAATTCTAATGTATTGTTTTCCCTAGGAAACTGACCCATTGGTTCAGCGCAAAGCGTTGTTCGAGCTGATAAAAGTCTACAATGAAGCAGCAAAGCTGGGAGACCCTTCAGTACAGAACCACAGGAGTCGACGACAGGCTAAGGGCTCCAGAAAGCACCGATCAAAGTCCTAGAACAATGTTTTTTTTTGGAATGTAGTCTAATGGTGGTATAATTTATTGATGTCCTTAAATTATTTAAATATAAAAATATAGTTTAATTAAATTATTATATTTGTTATTTATTTTTGGGAAACTTGAATTGCTTGGCTTAATGAAGTATCACTTGCAAAAGCAAGTAAAGTCTGTAAAGTCTATGACTAAATAAACCAAATTTTTTTATAACTTCTGGTTTGATGGAGTTTTCTTAGTGTTCACAAATCACTTTCTGCAAGTCTCAGACAAGTCTCAGAATTGAAGGTCCGAGACAAGACTCAAGACTTGGAGGTGCATATCCGAGTTAAGTCCAAGTTGAGTCTCAAATCTCTGAGGTTTGAGTCCAGGTCAGATGTCAAGTCTCAGAAGTGCAGGTCCAAGTCAAGACTCAAGATGTAAACGTAGCACTGTGTCCTGGATAAACTACATTTAGTTAATCTCAACAAATCTGTGATGAGAAGAAATGACCATGAAGCTGACTTTGATTGTGATAATACAGGGTAGCTAACCTTTCCAGGTGTGTTATAATTCTAAGCTGCTTTACCAGTCTTCTAAACGATGCATATGGTGGCTATCCGATTTGCCCACCAGATTGAAAAATTTGCACCAAAGTGTGATAATAAAACACTCTTGTTTGAGGCCTATTTTGGGGCCATGCGAATAATTTACTATGTTAAGGTTGATAGTTCTAACTAAATTGTTTTTGTTCATAGTTTTTCAAGTGTTCAAGTGTTTACTGTAGAGCCCATGTGGCAGGTAGCAACTGATACTGACACCTGGTATCAGATCTGCGCCACCTCTAGCCATTTTAAAACCCCTCAAAATCCCAGGCTTGTTACATACTAAGACTTATTATTCAGTAACTACAGGGACTTCAATGCAAACTGGTGGAGCTATTCTTAGGTTATAGAAGTGAGTAATAAAACTTTGGCCATGGCCATTTAAGGGCTTAATGCATTTTTGAGAGAAATAATATAGCAATATGTTAGAGTATGCAGAAGGTGCAAAAAGTCGAAGAATCACAGACAGTAACCTGCAAATTCCAGTTAAGAGGAATCTCAGAGCATGCGCTTTTTGGCAGCAGGGAACCAAAAGAAAACCCATTCAACCACTCACCAACTCCCTCAAAAAACAAGATGCTGGGAATCATAATGTTATATTATAAAGCTATAATCAAATATTTTCAAAGTTGCAGGAGCAAGAACAATATGATGCAACAACACCATTAAATAAATTGCTTCCAATACAAATAGCTTGTATTTGGTTCCCTGATAAGAGCAGAATGCTTTTATTCTGTGACTAGGGCCTAGCTTTCAACAAATGGTTTTCTACAAATCAAAACAATAAGGTTATGACATGATTCTGAAGTCTGCTTGCTGTCCAGTCTAATCTTGATTTACAAGTGATATTATCAGTTTCATATTTTGTATCCAGGGTGCCAGGCTGTTGATGTCAATGCTATAGGACTCAGAAAGGTTCCCCAAGAGGTCCACTCATTCTGAGTCACTTTTGCTGAAACTCGTGCAGTCAAAGAAAACCAAAAAGTAACGATACATCCAGCAAAGCACACCCACGCCAAATTTATTTGTTGTGGTTTCCACTGAAAACTGTTGCGTTGTCACTGGTTGAGACAAGTATTAATTTTAGTGACTGAGAAGGGTTTTGATGATGTAATGAGATGTAGACAGCAAGAAGAATGGTTGACATCATTCCTCTGTGTCTTCAGTTGGGGAGGATGTGGCATGCTGGACATCTGTGCAGTGCTGAGTTGAGTACACATTTCTGTGAACACCAGAGTAATAAGAGATGTAAGTCCTACACAGTGGGAGATTATAAGGAATAAATAAATGCCAGCAGTGTGGAGCCTGAAGCCAGCACCACTCGTGATGTGAGAATGTGGTGTTTTATGCAGCAATTATGCTAGCACAAATGTTTCATGGCTAGTCTGCTCTAATCAACCCACGACAGGCTTCATAGTTAGCTAACAATATGACTCAATTGTGTTTTACGGAAGAACTGGGCAGGGTAGGCGGTCTCCAGCAAGCAATCTTCTATGTAACATCAGCAAGAAATATGAAAAGTTTCTGACTGTAGCAAACTGTTGTAAGCTTGTGAGCACTCTGATCTACTAAGTTTGCTAACAGCTGGGTTTGCTGCACTGTAAAATCTTAAAAGTCAGGTAAAAAAACTTGAGGGCACTGGAGTTCAGCAAACTTTAACTTTAGTCCAAAACTAACTCAAAAACAAACTCACCTAACTCATACTTTTAGTAGATACACAACACAGTTTAGGTTATAAGATCTTTTTTCCAATTTTCTTGCGTCTAATTCCACCCACTAGCTAGGTCTCCCCCAAACACACGATACTCCGGCGCTAGAAAGTTAGCACATGCTTCCTCAGAGTCATGTAAAGCCAGCTACCGCATCTTTTTTTCCAACCCCTGCCAACGCAACATCAGTGGAAAGTACAACACGTTACATCAGCTATCATCAGCTATTATGCTGTCTTGGACCCCTGGCCATGGCTAGCTGTAGCATTAACAGGGATTGAACTCATGACCTTGTGATGATAGGGCTGCACCACTCAAGAGCCCAGCAGTGGCGTTTTAAAGCAGGCATGGCTACAGCGATAAAAAAAAGTGATACATTGCATGTACACGTAAACTGACTTGCCACTCCAGCCTCCTGCCCTCATACGGATATATGGCAAAAGCTGATGTTGTCAACCCAAACATGAGGTTTAGCTGACTTAATTGTAATAATGTATATTGTTTAAAATTTAGTTTGCTTTCATTTCGCAGGAATAATTTTTTCACTTGATAATGAAGCTGTCATTTCTTCAAACGCACAAGGCTAATTTAATTAATTTTTCAATTTACTGATCACATTAAAAGACATGACAGTAGTGCAAAGCTATCACATTAATTTAACTTTATTATCCACTTGAATTTTCTGTGGGTTTTTAAAGTGTATTGTTAATTAATTACATAAACCAGTAACAGTGAACCAAAATTTGACTGCAGTAAGTTAAAAACACCAACCTGATTAGTGGGCATAGTTCACCGGACAGTCTCCTCCCCATTAGGAATGTAACAGACGTTTAATACCAGTTTGTAAGTACTTGTGTTTTTCTCTTTTAAATTCTTTATTATTTGAAATGATTAAATCTGATCTCAGAGTGTCTAGAAAGTGTTTAACTGCTTCACCTTGAATGTCTGTGATACCAAGGCTGCTAAAACCCCCCTTCTTAATGTCATTGCTAGCTGTAGCTAAGAGCTAACAATGAAGTTAGCCACAACTGTTATCCTGTGAAAAAATGGTCTCCTACCCCTCTTTTACTTTTTTTTTTACTTTTTTATCCAATTGTAGTGTAGGATTCCTTCAAAGTTCTATACTTCTCTCAAGTTAGCATCTATAATTCTCTCAAGTTAGCATCTATAATTCTCTTAAGTTAGCATCTTTGCCAACTGATTTGTGTAGAAATACCTTCTCTTTTCTGGAAATACATTTCTTCTAAGTGCTAATGTATTCTTGAGATGTCTAGTGTGTCCACAAGTATTTTAGATTTATATACTTTTATTTCTTCTCATGAGTGGCACAGCTCTAGGAAAAAGCTGTCTGGCTGTGCTGGCTTTGACGGCCCTGAATCTTCTACCAGAGAAAAAAGCCTGGAAGATGTGATGACCAGGATGAGAGGGGTCAGCTGTTATTGCCGGTGCGCTTCATCACCCTGCTGTTGTACACTGTTAGAAATAAAGGTTCTGTGCAGGTACATTTTTCATTCATCGAGGTACAAACAATGTAAATGTTACCTCAAAGGTACAGCGGAGGTTTTAAGGTCCAAATGTGTATCTTAAATAAGTTTTCCAGGTGAAAATTACATATTTGTTCCTTTTCATAACCTAATGTTTTAAAACAGAACAATAAAATAAAAGCCTGGAGACGAGACGGGCTGTGTGGAGTCAATACAACCAAGAAAATATAATTTCAGTGGATTATGGTACAATTATTTTCCCTGACTAAAGGTACTGAGATGTACCCCTGAGGATACCACCCCAGTGACAAGAAGGGCACTGCCCCAGTGACAGTTTCATACCTTTATTTCTGACAGTGTAGATGTACCGAAGCGCTGGCCAACTACATCCAATGATCCTCTCCAACTATTCTGCTTACTCACTGGAGTTTGGATCATTGTTGTGAGGTGGAGGAACCAAACCAGATGGTTATAGATAATGTGAGGATGGCTCTGCAGCAGTTCGAATTTCCACAGCTGTTTCAGGAAGAATATTCTCTGCTGTGCCTTCTTGGCTATTTCTCTTCTATTTCAGGTCCCTTGATGTGTTTGTGCCCAGAAACTTGAGTGACTCCAGCAGTTGATCACAGCAGCGCTTTAAAGAAGATGGAGAGACTAAGTCTGGCTTCAGAGGGGTTCTCACCTTTTGTCTACTGAGAAGCCTGTTGATGTCCTGCTCATCATGTGGGAGCTGGGGGGAGTGGGGGTGTCCTTTGCACATTTAAATCTGCAGTAGAACACATGTAGCTCATTGATGAGTTGGCAGTCGTTCAGGAGAAGGGGAAAGAATCCCAAAAAGTATAGATTCCTCAATTCTAGGCATTTGGGAATAAAGAGTTTTGGACTTGATTCCATAAAGACAGGTTCAAGTTTGCCCCACACCCAGGTGCACATGGATACCCACACATTGATAGTCCGGCTGTATTTTACTTTAGACATAGTGGAAAACAAAACAAAATGTAATATTTGTGATAAAAAAATTGGCCTACAATTTGGCATTGCCAGTGCCAAAACATCTACTGACCTAAAGGAGTCAGGTACAGTTTAGTCAGCGAAGTTAATTTAGCTAGTGTTAGTTCTCCAAATGTTCTTGCTAAGGTCAAATATAATTAATATTAAACTCCTTAGTTGCCAGACGTTTTTCTACAGACATGTTACACCAATATTTTTGTTCCACAATAAATTTTCAAGTGATACGTACACAAAATATCACAAAATAATCTGCATTTAAATCACATCTTGGTCTATGTGCAACCTGATTACCAAAACCTTTTTACCCTGCTAAAGACAGTGGAAAACCAAGTCACATGACACACAGGAAATCATCAAGACCCTTTCTAACACCATCACCATGAGAAACACACATTGTGAAACTTGCTTGTAATGTTATCACCATTAAGGGACACATATACCGAGAAGCCATATATATGGCTTTAATTTAAACAATGACAATTATTTATTAGTGGAACATTTCAACAGTTGTAAAATAAACCCGTATGCAAATCTCATGGACCAAGGCCCCTATAATCCACAAATCCAGCAAGTACACATGCACACACTTTCTAAACCACTTATGGGGTTGCGGGGGGTTGGCCGCTGAAGCCTATCCCAGCAGTCATTGGGCGGAAAGCAGGATACACCCTGGACACGTTGCCAGTTCACTGCAGGGCAGACAGATGCATCCACACACACACAATCACACCTATTTGTTTTTGACTTTTAAAATGGGTAGACAACAATATGCTCTCTGTCAGGGTATCGGGTATTTTGTAAGTTTCTGCAGGCACATCTTTTGACCACATCTAGAACGTCAAATTCCGTATTGATAACATCAGAAACCGAGGTAATTCAAGTACATACATTGCATACCCAGATGTTATGCCACTGGTGCACACACTGCAGTTATAATAAACTGAAGTGCAATCTGTACTGCACTGAACTACAGTTATACTACAACGAACTTCACTTGTACTGCACTGAACCTCAGTCCAATGCAGTGCAACTGCAGTACACTGCAGTACAGTGCTGCCCGGAAAAGTTCACAGTTGTACTTCATTAAACTGCAGTTCTTTCTAAGTTTACTGTACATAAACTTTGTGGTCAATGTCTATGCATGGCTTAAACCTCAGATTTATAAAGAGAACCATGGTGCATAGCTCTTTTTATTTGTTGTTGCTAGCTGTGTAGCCGTTAGCTTGCTAGGTTCCAAGTTAGCAAGAAGTTAGCAGAGTAAAGTAATGAAGTTACATCAGCAGTCATGTATAACAGATGGAGTAGTCACTACATAAAGCCCACTTTGAACATAGTGTAATTATTTTTTGAAATATCAAAAATTTCATAATATTGTATTGCTTGGGCTCATACACAGCTTTGTCTGCCATTTTTTTTCAAGCAATTATTTCTGAGGCTGAACTATGTTCATGTTCACTTAATCCCTCCCTGCTCTAAAAGGTCATCTAACAAATCTTTGAGCTAAAACAGTTGTGGAGTGGTCTTTAACATGGCGTCGGGATTCTGTCAAGAGAAAATTTAAAGCAGAACGAAACAGACAGCAAGTCTTGATTTTTCACCAGGAACCACAGAGGAGCAGTTCATTATGATAGTATTCTTAAGAGATTTTATAGCACAAATAACAGAGAAAACTCATTCAGAATGTGACATCTTTAAGGTTGCATGTTAGTCTATTGCAGTTCTCTTTCTTCCTCTCCAGCAAAAAAGTGCTAAGAGTGTGAGCATCCTGAATAATAAGGGCTGGTTAGCTGAAATCTAAAGGTGCTGGCTTAGCTTGTAAGACCCTCATTTAGAGGAAACAGGTGAAAGCAAGAGAAAAGGAAAGTATAGAGAATAAGAGAGAAAAGGTGAGTTTAAGATGCACACCGAAATTCTTTGGAAACCCCCTTCTCTAGTGTCTGTTTAGAAGCGAAGCGATGCATGATGGGGAAGTGTTGAGCTGACACAACAGAATGGAAATCCCTAGATAGAAAGGGATTGTACAGCCAGGTTTCTACCTTCTACCAGGTTTCTATTTGCCATGCACTGCAGAATGAAAAGAGTGAAATGGTAACAACATGCTTTTGAATTTGTAGATGCATTTTGAGTAAATAATTGGTAAATCATATGCACATCTGAGTAGCAGTTAAGGAGGCCATTCTGAGGCCTTGCTAAGTAAGACTCTTTTTTGCAAATGAACCTCCTACATGGCTGTGGTTTGGAAAGGGCAAAGTAAAGAGTAGGGGGTTCAACAGGCTTCATGATAATTTGCCTGTTGCAGTAATCTATGCCTTCTATCATGCTCTTCTTCTATTCACAGGGCAGTTTTCAATGGTACATTACAACTCACTGACCGGGCCTACTGTATTCATAATTTATTCCTGGCCCTAAAATCATGTATAAAACAAACTCAAACTGGATAAATGGACATTTATGACATGGTAGCAAAATTAGGCCAACACTTATCTCATCTAGGTGAAGAACCTCCTGCACCCTAAATGGAAAGTGGATGAAATGTCAAATCCCACACGTCTGTCTGTGTATTGTCTCTCGACAATTCTCTCTCCAGGGCCACTGATTACCAATAAGCAATGCATGTACAGGCCATCAAATTCTTTGATTCATGAAAAGATACCAAGTCCTTTGATTTGACTTTGCACAAAGTTAGTAACATGCATAGTGTCCTCTTTTGTTGGTTAGAATTGGATGATGAAGACAATGGTGTTGCTCTATAATTAGAATCTAGGACATCCTACCAACAGACATAAATGCCATGACCGCAATATGCACCCATAACAGCTCTGTGGCAACTTGTCACAAACAAACTTCTGTTTGCTATCTAAGATGCCTGTAGGATAGACACAATACTCGAGGAATTGCGATGATCATGTTACCATTCAGATAACGAAGGTTTTATTTCAAATCTGGTCCACTTCTGTTGGGGTGGATAACTCGGTAGGAATTGAAAGTACGGAAAAGGTGAAGAAAAAAGGACAAGTGGAGGAAGAGTTGACGTCATCACGAGGAACTGAGGGGGCATAAATAGAAAGGAAAGGAGCGAAAGAGAGAGGGAACAAAACAGAGAAGAAAGGAATGCATCTTTTCTTTTGGTGCATCCACCACTGAGTGATTCAGTTAATCTAGTTGACGGTATGGCCAGTGCAGTGCAGTATGCAGTTGTGCTGCTGAGTCTAGCTGTGGCAGTGCTTGAGTGTGGAGGGATTTCACAGAAAACCAGGTGCGTTTCCCATGCACCATGTTTTGACCTACTTCTTCTAGAGAAAACTGTCTGGCAAGTCAGTAAAGATGTGGTGAGTTGTGTAATTATATTACACTATTCCGCTCTGTTTTGTATTTTTGCCCTGCCTCTGACTTCCAGACTTCTTAAGATGCACATGCACTTGAATGGGCCTGTGGGATCCTAATTAATGTTTACAGGGCTGCTCTTACTTTTTCAAATGTATCTCAGCCTTGACAACATTAAACATAAGGCTCAGACATGCAGGGAAAACACCGCTAAGAAAACCAGGAAATAATCATTTCCGTGGGACCACAGACAGATATAATCAGATATTAGTGGGAGGTTGCAAATTGTGCAGTTTCAAAACACACCATATATAGATTTTATTTTTGTTTTGGATCTCACAAGAAGGAAAGAGGACTGAATACAAAATGTGCTTCATATGATTCTTCCAGCCAGCAGCAGACAGCGAGAACATCTTACTGAAGAGCCAAACATTTGACAAAATCCGCAAACGGGTGAGACCTTCCAGCTTTTCCGCTAAATGTTGTATTTTTATATGTATTGAAAAGAAATGTAAAGTGTATTTATCAAATACATTTGAAAATGGCCTAAAAATATTTCTTGAATATTTCCTTCTTCCCTCCATAGAAGGATCTCCATAGCTGCGTCCTACAAAAAATCATTGACTTCTACGTGAATGTTCTCAGCTATGCATGGAACAACTCCAGTGACCACCACATCAGCCATGGTATGAACTACCATCTTGAGCTGATCACAATGATGGACACACTGAGAAGCTGTGTTTATAAGGTAAACTTCAGGAACCAAACTTTCTCATTGTTTTGCATATTACTGGATTCTTGAGGGCAGAGCTCACCACAGACAGCATCTCAGCGTGTGGTTAACAGCCCTGGTGTCAGCAAAAAGAATCCTGCCTTACTAATTAGATCTTGTTTATGGTCTCATGTTTTTGCTAACCTTTCAGATGAACGAGATATGTGAGATGTTGTGTCAAAAGGCCGCTCAGCAACCTAACTTAGAGGTAATCTCAATAAATGAGTAGAAAGATTTGGAAAATGAGATCAGACATTATTTAGCTAGTCTACTTTGGCAACGAATTTGCCATAAATGTAATAATTTTTATATGTGATATAGATTTCAGAAGCAGATATGACTCCAGAGGAAGTGGCTATACATCAGCTACAAAAACTGAACTCTGCCAGCGACAGAGTATGTATGACAATAGTTTCAACAACTTTGTGAGAAGTGATAGCAACTTTCAGCAGTTCTTGCTCTTTACTGCAAGTCATTGTTCTCTTGAGCCTACAACAGCCTAAACTATTTCTTTCTGTGTTTATTTCCCATGCACATATTTTAGTTGAACGACACGAGCATCCAAGAAAGAGCCATGGACGAACTGAAGTCTCTTCATAACTATATTCCTGGGAGAGGCTTCCGCAAAACAAATGGCTGAATGAAGTCCTAGGGGGTAGCCCACTGAGCCGTGCAAGCTTGTGATGCATTGCTTTTTCCCAGTTTGTGCTGCGCAAGAACAAATATGCAAGGTGCTAGCCAGTCATAGCTGAAATAAATTAAGATTCATTAAAGGAGATCCATGCTCATTTCAGTTGCAATTTTTACAGGCAGTGCATAAACAAATACAGCATGATGCACATATATGACAAAAAAATGCATATTACTTATGTAATTCTGTTGAAAGACATGGTGTGTAAAATGCAAGCAAGCAAGCAATCATACATTAGCCAAGCAGGCAGATGGCATAGCAAATAAGTTCTGTTTGCTGACGCACCGTGTATGTTCCATTTTATTTGAGTACAATGACTTTCCGCCCCTTTTGTCAGCTTTTCAATAAAATTCATTTAATTTTTTTATGTGTGCTCATTTCAGGGAGAGAACATTGTTTATAAAGCCTGGGAATTCCCATGAAAACTGACCACCTTCGCGGTATCTGACAAGGGCAACAGTGGCACTCAGGCCTTTAAAGCTTATTCTGTTGTAACTGCTGCTTTAGGTAACAAATGACCCAATCAGTAACAATCAGCTCATGAGTGCAACCGACATCTCGGGCTTCATAAGTTCCATGAGAACAGTCATGATTATCAATATTATTTTCTACCACCATCACTGTAAAGAGCTGATAAGTTTCCCTACAATGCACAGTTTCTCATCAAACCACTCAGAATGACTTTGTTTACATCTCCATGACAGAATTATGCAGAAAATTCCCCTTTACAGCTACAATATGCTGTTCTCACACATTCATCCTCATTTAGCTTCGTTTACATTATGGACAAGTTCAATATTGACTGATTAGCGGAAGGCACCTGCCATCTACAGAGCAGAGGAGAAACATGCAGTATGGCTTAATGAGGTCAGGCTCACAGTGCGGAGGACTATTCATCCCTTTCATGTGTGAAAGATGTACAGTAGAGCATTTTATGCAGTTTCTCTGATTATGAGCCACTAACCACAGGGGGTGCTACACACATTTGGCCTGATGTTGAGGACAGGCCACAATACAGGCCTATCAGAGCATTCTGACCAAAGGTGGATTAACTACTTTTATAATGTCATGTGTAAAATATGCAATATTTTGCATGTCACCCAATTTTACCATTAGTGTTCTTAGGTTTAATTAGTTCGTAGTTAATTACAGCAGTAAACTATGAAAGGCCATGCATTACAATTATTCTTCCATGAGTAAGGGATGTGGTTATGGACAACACAAAGTGGAGACTTCATAAAATGGTGACAAAATACAATATGATAAAACACACCAGTGTTGTTGCCAAGCAACATAACAATCAAAGATTCCACGAAGTGCACTATGACTTGATCAGCGTGTATGGTTATATGCATGTAGTATTTGATGATTCAGCCAGCCATAAATTTGGCCAATACACACACACACACACACACACACACATTAACAGCTGAACTAATCATTAGTCAGTAAGAATTAAACAAATAGATAAAACAAGTTAGTATGTTAGTTAGTTAGTTTTATATATATATATATATATATATATATATATATATATAAATATATATATAAATATATATATATAAATATATATATATAAATATATATAAAATATATATTATAATATAAATATATATATAAATATATATATAAATATATATAAAAAAGGCGGCACAGTGGCGCAGTGGGTAGCGCTGTCGCCTCACAGCAAGAATGGCCTGGGTTCGATTCCCAGCCGGGTGGCCAGGGTCATTTCTGTGTGGAGTTTGACTGGTGTCTCTGTGGGGGTACTCCGGTTTCCGCCCACAGTCCAACGACATGCAGTCAGGCTGATTGGACATGCTAAATTGCCCCTAGGTGTGAGTGTGAGTGTGTGTGTGTGTGATTGTGTATGTCTGTCTGCCCTGTGATGGACTGGCGACCTGTCCAGGGTGTATCCTGCCCTCTGCCCAATGACAGCTGGGATAGGCTCCAGCGACCCAGAAGGATAAGCGGTTTAGATGATGTATGTATGTGTATATATATATATCTATATATATATATAGAGAGAGAGAGACATGAAGTCTCTTGTTGTACTATTTCATTAAAAAAAAACATGTATAGTTTTATTACATCATTCCACAATAAATGACCATTCATATCGGAGTTCAGCCTCTGCTGTGAAATCCTCTGATCTGAACATGAGCTATATTTCGGTCATGGGCGTTGGTTTTGTCTCATCTGCATCTGCTGTGAGGTAACTGAGAAACCCCCACCTCCCGTCACTTCTGGTAAGCAGCAGCTGATGAGGCTTACGATAAACACTACATGTGCAGACCACAGACTCAACCCTCTCCAGCACCAGCAGAGAGATAGCACAGACAGCTAGACCTAGATGCAAAGATAATGACTCTGCAATGCATTCTAGTCAAGAGGCATTGGGCTAGGAGCAGACACCTAGTGACTGTGTGGAATACTTTCAAAATTCAGATTAAGTACATTCACTGGGGAAAATGTTTCGGCTGTTGACTGTGGTTGATGGTGTGAATTTACAGAGAAATGGAAAAAAAAAACCCACATCATACTGAAATGCGTCTCTCATTCTAGAGTTCTTCTTTATTATACTCTAATTAAACACTAAGCAACAGTTTGTATCACTTCAAAAACTGCAAGCCATTCCAGTTATACGTCTAATTGTTGTTCGCTATCCCTATCCTTTTATTCTAGGCTCAGGCCTAAAAAAAGCACTTTTAACATGCCTGCATTTATGCATATGTGTACAGACTCAGCAGTTTCGATTTCACTCAGGTGCTCTCCTGCATGCAAAATGCAGTTGTGAGCACTTTGTTCTCGGGGCCCAACAGAGGTCCCTGCGTCGCCTTTCTGAGGTCAGGTGCCGCAAGTCTGCTTAGTGAAAGCTATGCTGGAAAATCCAAGATAAAAAAAAGTTTGAGTCATGGAGGATAGATTGTGTAGGCCCAATTTAAGTCATGAACACTTGATAGACTTCACCCACTTTATCATGCTACAACTGTTTGCATCGTTACCACATTGCCCTTTGAAACTGAAGTTCAACTGCTCATCACAAACATCCCTTAACCAGCCCGAGTTTCAGGATAGATTCTAAACAACACTGGAAGACTGCCATGTAATGTGGGTTCAAATCTTGAAGGCAGCAAAAAGCTTTGTGACCTAATTTCACAGCCAAACAACGTGCAACATTTTGTAATGAAGCTGTTTCATTCCTGCAAGTTTCAGTATCAGTGCACAGTATAGTAATTTGATTGGTGCATTGCATACGAATTTCTCTGATCTATGCACATTTTGTAGTGCATATGTTACACTAGGGCTGGAAAATTTATCACCATTTGAATCAAAGAAAATTTTATTTATGCCAGTTTGTATCCTGATGAAGCTTCGAGCAAGCCAAAAGATTTTTGCCGCGTTATTCTAAAGAATATCAAAGGCTTGTTGATCAAAGGCTTTCTATAGCGTTTTATAGGGTTTCCCAGCAGAACACTCCCCAGAGCATCACCCTCCATCCACTGGATTGTCCTTTTCCCACAGTACATCTTAGTGCCATCACTTACCCAGGTAATCGGCACATATGTACCTGGCCGTCCATGTGACGTTAAAGAAAACAGATTTCATCAGACCAGGCGACCTTCCTCCATTGCTCAAGAGTCCAGTTCTGATGCTTGTATGCCATAGTAGGCACTTCTGATGGTGGACAGGGGTTAGCATGGTCACGCCGACCAGCCTGTGGCAGCACAGCCCCATAGGCAGCAGGGTGCGATAAACTGTTGTGACACATTCCTTCCATAACCATCATTAAAAATTTCTGTGACTTGTGCCACAGTAGGCCTTCTGTTAGTTCAGACCAGACGGGATTGCCTTAATTGCCTTCACACATTGATGAGCCTTGGCTCCCCAGTACCCTGTCGTTGGTTTGGGGTTGACTGGCAGCATCCCAAGATGCTCAAATCCCAGCCGTCTAGCCCTCATCAGGTCTTTATGCCTAACTATTTTTCCTGCATCCAACACTTCACACTACAAAAACCGACTGTTTGAATATCGTCTAATATATCCCAGACTTTCACAATCTGTGAGTGGTCGTATTGTTTTGGCTCATTAGTGTATATCAGAAAGCTGGGCCTGCTGTACCCCACCCATTTTTCCATGCTACCTTATGATGGCTGTTGAGTGTATTTTTACTAGCAACGCTGAGGTTACCATACCAAGCCACAATACAGTTCAACTCAAATCAGCTCAGTTTAACTCAACTCAGCTGAGTTCAGCTCAATTCAATTCAATACATGAACCAGTTGTCCAAGATGTGCTTTTGTAGATTAGAAAGGCTATAAACATCAAAGAAAACATCACAGCTGAAATATCGATGCACGACTGACAACACAGCACAACTCCTGTCTCAAAGCGAGCATGGTGAACATGAGCAGTGTGGGAGTTCAAACATTTCATGTTGTGTCTGAAGCATTAAGAATTTCATCACCAATATTGTGTACACATGAACGGGGGTGGCGAAACAAGAAGATAAAGATCAGAAACCAAGGAGCACTGCATTGTTTCATGAATTAGAGATCTTTATCAGTAAACCAGCATACAGAAACGGGATCATGAGATGACGATGAGACATCCTATTTCAAAGAAAGTTCATACATTTAGGGCAGATTCCTAGAGTTTCCTCACTCTCATTCAACCACAGTACGACCGTGATAATCTGTCTGACTCAAATGAAATTTGAATATATTAGTACTTGTGTTTCTGCCCTCACATGCTGTCAGTTAAAAATAAACTGTCTTTCAGTGTGGTCCAACACAAAACAGCAGAATATAGTAGCCATTTTGAGACGTTATTCCAAAAGGAAGTGCTGAAAAACAACTTCTTCAGGGCTCTGCAACACAGACATCATTGAAGAGAACAACCAATGGACACTTTTCTCCCAAGATTATTGCCGTGTTATTACTCTAAATAACAAAATGGGACTGGAAAC